TTGGTTTCATTGGTGTTTTTATGTGTTTCGTTGTAGAGAAAACTCTCCTTGTCTTTTAAAGAACCTGAACAAGGGGCAAAATCTTCAACTTCTATTTTCTCAAAAAAGCATTTTTTTTTCGGGATAGGCCCCTTGTGCTTAAAAGCGATCATATTATTGTAAGCCTTTGCTGCTTCCTGCTACGGCCCCATATAATCTCACAACATGTCCATGCCATTTAATTTGTTGTCTCTCGTTGTACTGCATGCCCAAAATCGATGCCCACTTGTCCAATAAATTCATTTGTATTGTCCGTACATTGAGTTGAGTCGACCAGCTCTTTAGGTCTACTGAATCCAAAATGTTGATTTTTTTAAAAATGAAGTTTCTTAAATTTGTCGTATCGGTTGTATGTGTTCAAAAACATTTCGTCAAAATTCAAAAGTGAGGCCTCGTGGTGGAATCAGGCGCTTGTCAAAATAATGAAATCAAAGAAACTGTCATTGTTCTGTCCGTTTAACAATTTTTATCTTTTTTTTTTATATCAAGATCATTAAGATCCATTAAAAAATACATTTCTGGTTGGATTTTACAGAAAAATGTTGATTTAAGGATAAAAAATGTTAATTTGCAGTTTCTAAAGACTCTCAATATTTTGAAAGTCGCAAAACTCTGACGAACATTTTCTCGCTAATTTTTCCTCTGAAAGCAAGCAACCTCCACCGCCTTCAATCACAAATGTTTCAACTTCTATTCACTATTGATGATTATTTTTTCACCAAAAGTAAGACAACAGAACAAGCTTTAAAATGATACCAATAACTCCACGTCATGTCCAAAAATTAGCGAGCGGCTGATTCCACCGTGTCGTGACACACCTTTTAAATTTTGGTAAAAGCGAGAAAAGACACATTATAAAGACACTTTTTAAAAACCAAATTAAAAAGAATTTGTTCCTCTCTCTCCTGACAAATGTTGCTTTCTGGGTTTACATTACTTAGAACGGCTGAACAGCTTGTAGATCTAGTCGATTGTCTGCATTATGGGTGTGTCTTATGTGTGGCTCATAGAAAAATGTATGTTTTTTTGCATTTGCTTTTATCCGCCGATTATACCCTTTTGGGTGTCGCGGGAAGAAAGAGACGTCTCTCTGTCGCCAGCCGGAGAGCTTGGGTCAGGGGGATGCCGTGGGTGGTTAATGTTTCCCTGACTCCATCTATTCAGGTCTTTCTCGGTTGCCCTCTAGCCTTGTTGCCATCGAATTTTTTTTATGTAGGCACGTTGTGCTGGATGGTGTTTTGATAATCGTAGGAGATGTCCAAACCATTTGATTCTTTGGTGTTGGATGTGATGCATGACATCATTTGTGCCCACCATTTCTCGGATTACAGAGTTTCTAATTTTGTCTCGCCTGGTCTTGTTTACTACTTGATGATAATCCGTAACTGAAATGTTACAATTTATCCTTCTCAGCCCGGGTTGGTCCTGACAGGCAGGGTGGCAGCCCGCCTCCTGAAGGATCTAAGTCCTGTCGATGGGGGCGTAAAACACTTTTATATTTTATAAAGTAATAATAGATAGGCTTAATAAAAATAATGAAGGACTGCGATCCTAACGTGGTATTGATATTGAACACGACAAGAATTGACCGCGTCCCGCTGTAATTGGCAGTTTGGTTGCCGTGGAAACACCTACATCTTGAATTTCAGTTTTTAGAAATAGGGCGAACTGAGTGGGCGATGCTCTTAAAAGTCAAAAGCAAAGATCGTGAAGTTGTCTGCTTTGGGAAATTGAGCATAATAATTTATTTTTTTTAAATAAAATATTTAAGAGAATTGCTGCTGTTCTATTAACCAAATCCTTTTTTATTAGACCGTCTGTCCCGTTTCATTTTATTTCTCTAATAGACTGCGAGGTGTCTCTGACTAAACAAATCTTTGTCTTAACTCTTAAAGAATGTAGCCGACACTTAATAATAGATCTATGTCTACCAGCTTTTAATTTATTAAAAGTAACAATGCCGCACATTTCAAAGTATCGTTTATTCAGTCAAAAAACACGAAATTGTAAACACAGTCAAACCTGCTCTAAAGAACACTTTGTACAAGAGTATCACCTGTACAAACGACCACCTTCCATTTCCTCTCTTGCGTATTTGTTACATTATAGTGAGACTGTGTAAGACGGCCTCTTTTCTCCTCTATAGCTAGTGGTTTTCTTAGAAAGTTTCCACTGTATTTCATGCATAGTACGTGTACGTGTAGTTGCCTGCTTTTTTAAAATCCTTACAACCCCAGTTGCGTATATTTTCCTCATAAGGTTTCGTT